GAAGCAAATCACATAACATTTTTTTAAAAGAGAGCACGTAATAGAAAAGATAACATGCATCCCGTAATTAAGAATTAATAAATTATTATTACACATTGAAAAACAATTTTCGATTGGTCTCTTTGCGGAGTTGTCTACGTTTGTTAGTGAACTCATGAAGAGTGCTATTAAATAAACCAAATGAAACTTATGAAACTTCAAATAATTTGAGAGCGTTACAACCAACACCATAAAGTTTTAATTAAACATTCATGACGATTGTCTATTGTTAGTTAAAGTGATGAGATATTTTTATTTTGTTTCCGTCACAGCAAATAATTAACAATGGAGATTTAAAATTATTTTGCCTAGTGCCACAGGTACGTGTTTTGGTTGATAGTATCTTCGTCAGACACACTATGTGGCGAAGTCAGTTTTCAGCGAGTTGCAAGTGGCGATAAGGGTACCAATCGACAGCCACAAAAATATCATTCAGTTTTGGACACTTGTTTGGGGGTCATCTTGAAGGTGTGGGAAAAGTTCTTGGTGTTCCTGTTACGTTGTTTTTGAGTTTTTACGCTGTTCCGTGCTGTATCGTAAATATTATACAGCGAATTCCGCCAATACTGCCGTACTCGCTACCGTTCTTTTGTTTCACCGTCGATAACCTTCGTCCGTCGTGATATAAACAAAGCGTGGTTTTCAGTCGGCGTACCGTACTAGACCGTCCCTGTTTCAACGTCGCCGCCTCCCAGGGAACCGAAGCAGCATTCTTTGGCGAAGTGCTTCCTTTCCAGAGAGCGAACTGGCGCCAGAGGAATCGTCCCGGTACAAGGCGCCAACCTCTGTGGCGTGAAAGTGCCCTTGTCTCCACAATTGGCCAGGCGTGTCTACAGTGACACTAGTTTACCTTAGTAGATATTCTGCTCGAAAACAAGTACGTGTCGCAGTGTTCCATTAAATGAAATACTTAAAAGGTGATTACGTTATTGTGGTTGATGTGGCAAACTTTTACAATAAAGCATTAGCAACGCAGCTTTTGTTTTTCTAAACCGTGTTCTCTAAGGAAAAATTTAAGTGTCCCATTATGCATTTTCTATTATTTTTAACAAAATATTACTGTTCGGTGGTGCGATTTTGTTCTTTATCAGTAACTAAATAATGATTCAATACTGGAATTATAAAGCTGTTAATTGTGATGGAATAGGCACGAATATTAAATCGTTTGCAACGCAGGGTATAATTTATCAGCTGATAAATCATCGCCATATTTTAACATCCGGACATAGACAGCAAAATTTACTGCATATTAGTTGCTTTTCATATTTTAAAATTTTAATGATTACATTCTCGGAGATTTGCATATTTATGCTGAAAAATATAGCTTCTTTTGCATTTCATTGAACTAGGTTAAGTTACAAGAAAAAAAACATTTGGAACTTGACAACAAGTTGTCAACAAATCGTGTACGTACTTTTCAAAACAAAAAGTCCGTTTAGCTATTGAAACAGCAATAAAAGAAAATTGTTGTCCATTGTTACGGTGAGAAACCGAAGAGTTATAAATAATTATCAACAGTTTTAATACATTTTGTGATTCAAAAACCCTTTACAGAACAAAAATTATATTTTTTCATTATAAATAGAACGTAAGGACATATTTTTTCCCTCTGATGTTTTTTAAAAGCACAGGGAAATCTAAGAACTTTCAAATGTTCACCTTCTATCTAAAATATAACAATTCCTTTCTGAACGTCGGGCAAGACGGTAAAATACTTCAACGAGGCATTTTTGGAGTGTTTTTTAATGTTATCTCATTCGCAGTAGTTCAAAAACCTATAATGAAAAGCTTTAACCTAACCCAGGAGGAGTTAGTTTACAATAGTTGCCGCGTAGTCGTTTTGATAATTTTATTGAAGTAGGCAGTATAGTTCCATATCATCCCATCAGCCATAATTAAAGAAAAACATTTAGTAGAAGCAAGGAAAATTTGATTTTTCGATGAAAACGAGGAATATTATCAAAATGGTTGTGTTCTCTATTTCACTGTGATTGTTGCTTCTAAGTAGAAAACACAACAGGACGACGCAACTTGGTAAAACTTTATAAATATTTCGATTTTTTTTAACGCACGTAGAAAATTTCTCACTGAATTTTTCGTAAAAAGTATTAGCGGATAATGTATCCGAAGTTAACACTAAGGATAGTCAGCGTGACTGAACCTTAGTTAGTCCTTAGTAGATAACAGCAGTGACTCCAGCAACAGACAGCAGACTATGGTTTGGAATATCACACAATCTTTTGAAAGCACTCAAAAGTAAATTAATGAACTACGGCGAATGGATTTTTTCAAGGGCCACTTTGTATAACTGTAGTTTCAATTCCAACTTCAACAATAGTAATTTACTTCTGCATTTGTTAGGTGCAAGCACCATTCCTTATTCTTGTTGTAATTAAAGTTTTTATATTTAAATAGTTCTATCTATAATACATAAATTTATTAAGGAAATAATTTTATCAACTATTTGCCGATTGTCAGTAAACTTCGAACGGACATTTCCTGACAATAGGCATTAAAAGTTTTACATGCCGTTCGAGATAAATATAACACCTTTTCCGTATTAATACATAAAACGTTTTTTTCATTTTCTGAATGTATATTACTAATAAAGAGTATTGCATATTTCACTTCCCAAACATACATTATCTATCGTTAATTATTTCTCTGATAGGCGTCTAGGTAAGTGAGAAGGAAACAGTTAATAGCTAATTCCCCGTTGGCAACGATACCCCTTCAACAAGGTGTCTCGCAAGTTTCCTATGATCTGGGTATATTAGTGTTCGGCAGAGCCTACATAATAGATTTTTTGAAAAATAATAATGGAGAACATTAACTAAAATTTCAAGAAAATTGATGCCGTTACATGAAAAAGTGTTAAAACAAATCTTTACGGAAAAACGTACTCTACTCTTCTATTGAGTATACAGTTCATTACACGAATTTATGTTAAACACACACAATGAATTAGATCCTTTAAACGGATGTTCAAAATATATAACTAGTTTACAGTTATTTCATGCAAATGTTGAGGTAATCCTTTCTGGAATCGAAAATAGCAATAATTAAATTAACGAATCAACTTGGAAGCAGTCCTTGACAGAAAAAGATTACTTTAATGTACTAATAAAGTCATTAAGGTTTTGTCAAAGAATACTGTTTGTATGTTACTGAAGGCAAGAGTTACGAGGTTGTTATTTTAGACCAAAAGGATTGTTACGAAAGGATTGATCACAATTTATCAAAGAAGATATTGAACTAAAGAATGTCTGTGTGAAACTTTTTTCTATTCAAAGGACAATTTTTCGAATAACAATGAAAAGGTGGTGGAAAACGTATCTTTGAACATGAATATTTTCCACTTACATTACTGTCTTTGAAAGTATAATAGGTCTGAATAAGAGTATGTAGATAAAATATCGATGCCAGTATCAATTTACTGGTGCTCTTCTTCTAATAAGGAAACTATGCAAAGGGGCTTAAAGTCCTTACAGTTGTAGGTAGTTTAAATGATATCTCGTTTATCGCCACAACACTGAAAACACACAAAATATTTGTTGACGCGTTTCGCCAACCACGTTGGCATTATCTATGCAAATAAACCCAAACTAAAGTGGAATTACAACTAAACGTTATTTATAGCCGAACTAGGACTCCTCCCATTCCACAGTAGACGGACGATTTCGATATTTATTATAGGAGTATTTTGTTTTCTAAAACATTCGAAGGTTTTGTAACTACCACAGCACATGAATTCATTCCTAGTGTTAATGGTTCAGACCTACGTATTGTAGATAGGATTAATAATACGTCTGAATTTAAATTGATCTTTGGATATTTTAAATTTCAGAAAAATAGATCAGAGTCGACACTTGATCACATTTATAACGGTCCTTCAGTAAACAAAAATTTGTGTCAGGCTCTATAAGTAACTAAAAAATATGAATGCACTAGTAAACCTCACGTATATTTTCATAATATTTTGCATATTTTAGATGGGATTTAATAGGCAAAATTTTGATTAACGATTTACTATGCTTACGACAACCTTAAAACATCTGCAAGAGCAATCGGTTTTGTAGTTTCAAAGTTGAATTGCAAAATGTTGTTATATAATGTCTAGGGTAAAAACTCAACACGGGTTCATAAATTACTAGTGCAGAAGTATATTATTTTATAAAACTTAAATAATACTTACTGTTGTAAATTTTGGAAATGATGTCATCCTATTGTTGGTGGGATGATTTGATAAATTTTGATTAGCGTTTTACTATAGCGGACAGATAGATGGACGTTAACGTCGTTTTTCGTACTCTTGGGGGCTCAGATGGACTCAGTTAGAATACTTCCTTAGCTATTGTTCAGGAATAAAAAATGACATTTGCCTAATTTTAAAATTACAGATACATTTCCTGATGATTTGTCAATAAGAGAAAAACCTATCATAAAATATTCTAAGAGTCGAAACAGATCGTTAAAACTGTCTTGGTGAGGATTAACTAAGAAGATGAGAAATAATTTAGGAAAATTACAAATTTTTATATTGGCACATGTTTTCTTTAATTAAACACAGTCATCCATATTACTTGCAAAAAATGATCATCATGCAACACAACGAGTATATGAATTTTTTTTCCATGTTTATTTTTAGACTTCTGTCTAGATTTAATAAAAAGTTATATTGTGTCAAAACTGTTCTCACAGTTTTAGAAAATATCTTTGTCCTTGATGGTTTCATAAATTTGGATATAATGGAAAGAAGTTTCTCCAAAATTGAGAAAAGTTATGTATATAATTATTTTAACCTAAGTCCAGATCAATAATAATCATCAGTGATAAGTCAAAATCTAAAAATGATTTCTCAAGTATGGACTAAATAATAATAAGTGATCATCAAAATTCATATATTGCATTTTATATACATTTTTTATACACCTAGTATATAAATATAACAAACAACTTACAGTTGAGATCCTCGCCTCCTTGTCCGTCTGTCCTCTTCTGGGGCTATCAACGTTAAGGTTGTGGGAGCAGTTTCAGGACTGGGAGGACTGGTCGTTTCAGCTGCAGCTACTCTAAATGACGGCCGTCTTCCAACGTTGGTAGGAGCTGTCACAGTACTTAAACCCGGGACAGCATAGACATCGTAAGCGGAAGCCCTTCTGGGCATGGGGGCAGGTAAACCCAAACCACCTTCGGTGGTCGTAGTCGGTGCGAGAGTACTTTTTACTTCGTCGTCGTAACTATGTTGTCTTGCTACTCTGGAACCTCTACGTGATCGTGGAGCTTGAATTACGGGGGCTGTTTCACGAGGGGGGCTGTTCTGGCGACTGCAAGCGGTACTGCGGCCGCCACGGCCCTTGGTCCAATCGGGGTCGGGAGTCTTCGAGCCACCGCCTTTTAACTACACCACAAGTAAAAGAAGGATTAATAGTAATTAAGTTTACTTTTAAATACTAAAATGTTGAATGGGCGCTGATGATTTTGTTTAAACTTTATTATCATGTGTAGGATGAACTAAGCTCTCAAATGAAGGTTACTCGACCCACCATGTGACTTAAATTGTTTTACATATACTTAATATCATAAGGTCAGAGCGTGTCACTATGTGGACGCTCAGCTTAACTTGATTATTAATCCAGGCTTTTTAAATTTCAAAGCTGTACTTACATTAACAAAGTTACGATCGCAATATGTGTACAAAGTGTTTATAAATGATTCATACATCGCAATACCACTGTCAAACAAACAAAAATTAACATTTTTGGAATCTCCATCTCTGCATTGCTTCCTTAATATTCATATCAAACATCAGGCACGAGTTGACTAATTTGGACCCAAAAGAGTAAGTGTAGGTATAACATAAACCAGTAGTAACAATAATAAAAATTTTACTGCAACAGTTGGACAAATTATTGACAACAATAGAATACACTTTGGAACAAAACACCTTCATTATCATGTCCTACTAGCGAAGATGGAGAGTGGATCTATTCAGTTAGTACTTGTAAAAATGAGTACAAGTAGAAGGAATTATGAACCGCTGTAACACCATTAACCAATCAAAGCTTCAAAATCTATTTCACACTAAATGTAGAAAGGTTGTGCTTAGAGCAAAATGGAGGTCATTTTCAACGTTTTTTGTGACTTATCTAACTAAATTTTGATTCTAAAAATAAATTTGTACGTTAGAACATGGTTTTTACAAGAGTCAAAATGTTTATTCTAAAATAATCTTTTTCTTTTAACGATTGCGAGATGTACACAATGAATTATAGACCTCTGTATTTATAATTGTTGGGAGAAGATATATCCAAAATAAATCGTCAAAACTGATGAACGCAAGTTTGGACATAGGGAATTAACATGGGAAATTTGTTTTTATTTTATACATAATATCTCTCCAGATCACAAATCACTTTAAAGCTATTATTGAGTGATGCATTGGTGGAGGTAAAAGAGTGCTGTTGGTCAGTATTTTTTTCAAATTGTTGCATTGCGCCCATTCACTGTAAAAAGCCTTTTAAAATCGTATTTTGAATTTTGCATCATCGAAATGTCAAATTGAATTTAGAAATTATTCCTCGATTCTCAATCAAAAATCACTGAACAACTGAAACTTCTGGTCGTAGAGCGCGACCCCATGACAGGAGCCATCTCTGACTACACCTAGGCTATATGCAAGAAGCGTGAGATGAAGCCCTCCGCGCAGCTCGTCTTCCTCAACACCCCCATGGGCAGCATAATGGACACACCTTGGGGACCCGTCAAGTTAGGGATTTATTCGCGCTACCTGACTTAGAAATCACCGAAGAACTCAAATTGGGTTATTTTATCCAGTGTGATGATAATTGTAGGACAAATTAAACGGAATAACTGCATAATTTACAAAAAATATTTTATGAGGTTGTTGTTAGTGCCTTTCGATTCCAGTGAGTTTTTATTACTAAAATATCATTAAAATATCATGTTCTACTGCGATCAGATGAAAAAGTTAGGGCCTCCTTGTTTTTATCTTGTGATGATAAGATTTACCATTGAAACAGAAGCTAACCGTTTTGAAAAGAACCTTTTAATAAACCATTTAGATAACCACAAATAACAAAACTAAACAACAATAGGTAACGAATGAAGGAACGAAATACTGTACAAATTTGGAGAAGGTCGCTCTCAGCTGCTATACAGTAAGTAAGTCGATCTTCAAAACTCTTACGCGGGTTGATCAGCATTTTAGGTGATATCTGGAGGGAATATTGTTGGATTGCCTGTTTTACTGCGTCTCTGTTTGCATGACTGAAATTCCTAAAGAAAAAAATCACAGGGATTTAAATCTGGCAAACGCGCAGGGCAATGGTGGGTCCAAACTTTCCAATCCAACGTTGCGGAAAATGTTGGTTCAATGAAGCAACATTTATGAGAGCTGTATGGCTCGACACTCCGCTCTGCATGTAAAAGACCTGCTGCAGATGCCGCACCCTTCGAATCCCAGGAAGTATCTGCTGAGTCAGCATATTGTTGTCCTTCGGGGCATTTAATTCAGATTCCATGAAAAAGGTCGCATGACATGCTACGCTAGAAGCCCCAGCTACACATTGACAGTTGCACGTCATTGATCTGGATGGTCATGGACCAGTTGAGGGTTCTGTAATGCCCAAATTCGATCGTTTTGATGATTGGAACCTTCCGTTACATCAAATGATCAGTCAGTGAAACAAATGTTCCTCAAAAAGTCTAAAAAAAAAGGTATTCCAAGTCGAAGAGACCCCAGCAACATGAATTAAATCTACAGACTTATTATTACAACAAAACGTATAAGCAGCTTTGCTGACATTACTTATTGTATGAAACTCAACTGCAAGAACAATGATTAAGAATGCGAGCCCAGCGAGCACGTTCAGGTGTCATTTAAAAAATTATTTGTTGGTGTCCCTGAGAAGCTAAATTATTAAGAACAATTTTGTTTAATGTTTAGTTTAATGACTGTGGGACTAAAATATTCTGAACGTGCTCGCGGCGCTCGCATTTTAGTGTTTTTTTTTTAACAAATTTGCCTTCATTGGGAGATCTCCAGAATTATTATAATAAAAACTAAGTAGAGTTGCGGACTGTTAATTCGTAAATGTTTTGTGACACTAAATTCATTAAAAAAAGGACAATCAGAGTGCGAGTGCAGCGAGCACGTTTAGGTATTGTTCAAAATTATTCGTGGGTGTCCATGGGAAGCTAAATTATTATTATTAATGAGAATATTTGTTGGTGTCTAAAAAAGTAAATCTTGAAAATGTTTGTGAATAGTAAAGACCTCAGCAAAATGAACGTGCTCGCTGCGCTCGCATTCTAACCGTGTATTTTTTTAAATCAAAAACATTTATTATTAGAATTGAACAACTATGCTATTTTCTTGAATACTTCTGAGACTAAACTTAGAAAAAAGAACGACTAGAATGCGAGCACAGCGGGCACGTTCAGGTATAAATTAAAAAATTATTAATGTTAATGTCCTAAGAAGTTAAATTAAAAACATGTTTTAAGTTTCATGTTGTGAAAAGAAGTCTACACATATTAAAACAAAAAAGCAAAATGTATATATTTATATATTTGGTCCATTTTTTCTTAATATACGAAGTCTTCTTTTCCCAACAAGAAAGTGACAATATGTTTAACTATCCTGTTGTTGAAAGAAAACTCTATTACTATATATTAAAAAAAATAAATAAATTAAGCCCTGCCCACCCGGCTCGATCTGAATTGTAACGAGTTTAATTGTAACATCAATATTTCTCTAAAAAGTTTTACCTTTGTAAAAACATAAGAGCATTTCATATGGTAATTTCTTTAAGAGAAATGAATCTTTTGTAACTAAACTCCGCCCTTCAGCTCACGATGAATAAAGCATTCATCACAATTGAGAAGGGTTGGGTGGGCGGGGTTTATATTTGGTCAATTTTTTCTTAATATACGAAGTCTCCTTTTCCCAAAAAGAAACTGACAATATGTTTAACTATTCTGTTGTTGAGAGAAAACTCTATATATAGCGCGTCTACTTGATTTTATTCAAGTTTTATCATCGTTGAAAATAAATGTAACTTTGTTTTGTGAAATATTATTTTAATTTTTGTTGTTAGTACAATGAACAAACAAAAGCAATAATTCAAAAGTTTCGGAAACCTAGAACACATTGGCAATAGAGAAAAATATTTTAAAATCTTTATGTTGAGAGTCAATATTCTACATTTCTCCGTCAAAAACTTCTTGTAACGAACACGCTTCCAGGCTGCAGAAATTTCATTCCTGCTTAATACATGTAAAATTAGTTGAATTCTAGTCTTTAGTGATTTGAAAAAAAAATGTGAATTTTACACAAAATTGCCAAAAAGTCTTTGGCCCTATAAATTGATTCCTGTATAGTAGCCGTCACAATAAGCTGAACGTCTCAAGCGCTCAATAAACCCCTAACCACAGCTTATATGTACCATAAATTTGGGACTGATGCCGCGTGCCATTCAGTTAGTACAGGGTAGTACTTAAATAAGAGATATGATGTACCCAAACATTGTTTAGAACGCCCGTTATCGCAAAGTAAAAGTAACGTATAAAATTTATTTTAGATTGCTCAGTATTGCTAAATGGGAAAAATAAAATAAAACCTAAATAGCAAATTATTCTTAATCAATAAAATACAAGAAAATAGAAATTTTTCTGATTACAACCCTGTTCCGGACGGGGCCACAGGTGGAGAGTAATAAAAATTACAACCATCCTAATGACTTCAATGAGTGGCAGCACGACCGCGCCCCAGGCAGCATTCGGTATAACTTGACGACTTTATATTTCTCTGCTATTTAAAATATCAATTGATACTTAAGCATGCAAGTGTGTCTTGACGAGCTGCTTGAAGGGCTTCATTCCGGGTTTCTTGGACACAGCTTAGGTGTTGTCGGAGACAGAGCTGTTCAATACTTGAAGCACAATTACTTGAAGTAGTACTTCAAGTACTTTAAGTACTTCAAGTAATTTACTTGAAGTACTTTTATATTTGGATACTTAGTACTTGGTATGTGGAGTACTTGTGTAATGTACTTGGATTTATTACTTGATTTTGCCAAGTACTTTACTTCAAGTACTTCACTCAGTACTTCAAGTACATTTAGATACTTCAAGTACTCAAAGTATAAAATTTCATACCGTAAGTCCCTCAGTTTATACTTTATTTTACGTACTTTTTACGTCCCCAAAATACAGAAAGTCTGTGCAATACTTGATAATGTAGAATATTGTTTAAATTATGTGTTTACACATAGTCACCGTTGAGTTGTTTTCTCAGTTTCTGAATTTGGGTATGTATAATACAAGGACAGAGCCGAATGTCGAGTACAGCCTAAACCCATAAACGTTACCGTTAGATTCTTTTGTAATTTGGTCATCTATTGGGTCTGGTGTACTTTTTCCCGGCAAATGGACTGGGACATAACCAACCAGATATCGGGAATTAGATTGTTTGCCTGACTTTAAAGTTCGTCGAGCATTTTTAGATGACGATGCCATTTTTTTATTTTATTTACAGTAATAGACGTTAATGAACGACGTTTGATGATGTTTTTGTCCTTAGCAATTATTAGGTGTATATTTTGAGACGGCGGTTCTTTTCAGGTTATAATTCTAAAAAAATTAATCTTATCGAATGCATTATAGTAACAAAAAAAAGTATACATGTTTAAGCAGTAGGTTGTTTATAATTCAGATTGGTCAGTGGCCCAAAAGAATATTGTTTATAACATAGTATTATTAATAAGTAAGCTACCATTCTGCAATTTCAGTTGATGCTTATACAATTTTTTATGTGGCGCAATATGGATTATTGTATACTTAATTTCTGAGTATTAAAAAATTCAGTTCTAAAATATATTAAGCTTATTTAAGAAAACCGAAAAAGTAATCTAATTCCGCAGTATTTCAAATAATTAGAAAGTGCTTGAAGCATTTTTAGTACTTCAAGTATTTATAAGTACTTGAAGTATCCCTCCAGTATTTCAAGTACTCGTAAGTACTTGAAGTAATGTACTTGGCTTGTACTTCAAGTACATCTGAAAAGTACTTGATACTTGAAATATTCTTGCTTGGAACTTTACTTGAACACTATTTCAAGTAGTAGTTTGAACAGCTCTGGTCGGAGATGGCTCCTGTGATGGGGTCGCGCACTACGACCAGGAGTTTCGTGGGGGGATTCATGTGCTGGACCCAACACCAATTTGTACATTTATTCCGTTTAATTTGTCCTATAATAATCATCACACTGGATAAAATAAGTCAATTTGAGTTGTTCAGTGATTTCTGAGTGAGAATCGAGGAATAATTTCTAAATCCACTTTAACATTTCCTTTTTCCATGGCTAGTCCAAGGACGCCTTCGTCGAATTGAGATGGAACGACAAATCGGCGCTAATTATAAAACACGATTTTTAAATCAGTGATATATAATAATAGCTTTCAAGTGATCTAGGAAGATATTATAAAATAAAAACCAATTCCCCATGTTAATTTCATATGTTCAAACTTGGATTAGACGCTCTGTTAATATTAAAAGTCTTATAAATTTACCGCATCCTTTGTTGCTTCTGAAAACAAATTCAAGAGTCGATTTTATGTGTCACACATGGGAATCATGTTTTGAAGAACATATACTCTTTGACCGGAAGATCAAAGAGAGGGAAAAGGGGAAAACTTGTTATAGCCGGCGACCTCTAAGCGATAAAAGTTTTCACTAAAATATGCCAAACGTCCTTTAAGATAGTTTCACAACTATGGACTATTTTAACCATAAATTTTTGTTTTAACATAGAAACGATTGTCTCAACAATAAGTCGGGTAACAAATGGAATCCAATCAATCTTTGGTTAAAAGGGACTTTAGTAAAAGGTAAACTCTATTGAATAACAAAAAACCTCTTTGTGAGTTTCTCGTTTAGCGTTAAAACAATTTTATTTACTATTAAACATTAAAGCTACTGTGAGTGAGTTTGTTTTTCGTTGTTTTTGAAGCCGATATTACTGACTGACTTGGTTGGATACAAGTATGAAAATCCATGTAAGTACGGAAGAATAACAGTCCATTATGGAATTACATTTACCTTTTCCAGTTCCTTGAGCGAAGCAGGGGACACATCCGAGTGCCTTCTAAGTTCCGGACTACGAGGTGGGGCTAAACCGCTCCCCATCCCCGTCGGTAAGCCACCCCCTGAGCCTAACCTCGCTTCGGAATGCCTTCTCTGTAATTCTTGTATAGGAACGTCCAACAAACTCTCCGATGAGTCTTGAGCCAATGCCGCTCTTGATTGCAATTTCCTACAACAGCAAATATGTTAATCCAACCCTCAGCTTTACAACAAGCTAATCAATCACATGATTAAACTCCCGCAAACTTCACAGGGGTTTTTAACGTGGTTAAAGGGCAATAACTTCCTGCGGCTTAAAAATAGATACGTTATTCCAGCGTAACTTAAAATACTCTTCACATCAATCGAACTACATTATCAGTTGATAAATAAATAACAAATATAAATTTTGACATAAATAGTTCAGTAGGCAAACGAAATGTATTTTAATTTAAAATTAATTTAATAAAGCGTGAAAAACTGTTTACTTTGTTTTAGTTTGATTATGAAGGATCGCAGTGTTAATATAAATATTAACAGTACACTGTAATGAGTTTTTAGTGAACAAGTTAGTAATTATAAAGTTATAAATATTGCAAAATGGTTATTTTGAATTAATTCACTAATTTGAGTTGCATGAAGCATCCATTTAAATTATGGAATAATAAATCAGTAATAAAAATGTAAATTATAAGAATAAAGGTAAAGGTCTTATTTTTCTTTTGGTCTTAATAATGAAGTAATTTTCAAATGAAGTTAAAGAAAGAAGTTTGCAGCGCCATTTTCTCCGGTCGATTCCAAGCTTATAGGAGTTATTCGACATGGAAAGTGGCTTCACATTCGATATAAATCAAACTATTTGCGTAATATAACACTTGCTTCACTGGTTATTTTACTAGACGATTCCAGTAACTTATCTGTCTTAAATTAAAAATAAAGACCAAAATAAGTACCTACGAGTCCCGTCCCAGGGAAGTTGGCCCACATATCAAAAATGATTTCATTTAATTTAAACAACAGAAATTTTGTAATATCATTTTTGTGAAGAATTTTCCAACATTTTATCTCAATATAAATTAATCGTTATTTAAAAAAAAAGTAATAAAAAAAATAACAAATTTAATAGCAGTCTTTCTTAATGGAAATTATATTACATAATCTGCCGTCTTTCTCCTGCTCATGTTCATAAAGGAATCCCTTTTGAGTTTTTGCTGAATTAATATCAGTCAGCTACACAAGCAACAGCAACTTGTAGCTTTGTGCTGGATAAAGACAGATTTGTTGCAACACAGCTCTGCATTCGTCAAACTGTAAGCAACAAACTTTCAGCTTCTTTCATATTCCCTGCACTGGATCGATGAGGTTTAGAATAACTCTTTAGGGATTCTTTATTCTAGCAAAATTATCTACACCAGAATTTTTATTAAAAAGCTAGACATTTTGTCCACATGTCTTTCATCTATAGTTTTTGTATTACTGTTTGGTTGAGTCAGGTTAACTTGTTTTGTTAAGAATTATTTGTTACAGAAAACCGAATTTCAACAGAACTGTAAACTTACAATATAGTGCCTACTTAATAGCAAAATATTGTCAAGAAATTGAAATTTTATTGATTGTCTTTGGCATATAATTGAGCATATACACAGTACTGTAAATTGTTTTTGTACAATAATGTAAGTATCTATGAAGACAGAAAATATGTTTCTTTTTTTAAGTGAAAAGCAATGTAATGCATTATTATAACAGTCTGTAACTACAGACGTTATACAATGTTTCTATTTTAACTACACTTTTTATGATATTGCTAACAAATGTATTGCTTCTCTGTCGATACGCAAATTGCCAGTTAAATTTGGACAAAAATTTGAATGACTCGAATAGTAGTAACACTGACGTATTTCATAGCAATAAACAGACTGTAATACAATTTTTAGCCAAATTATCTGCATCATTATCGTTATTATTTTCTCCGGAAACTTCAATTGATTAACAAAATTTCATCAACATTGATTTTTGGCAGATATGTTCATTTAATTTTTTATTCAGAATGTCCAAAATTTTCAAACACTGGAAAACTGTAAACGATAAATAAAATGACGTGGTTTATTTCTTCTTCAACATTTTTCAACATTTTAAAGAAATATTGACCGAAGAAACTTTTTTTGGAAATTACGGTTCAGTGTATCTTCAGAACAACGTCCTGGAAGAAAGCTGTCATACTGTGCACTTGCTGTAAAGGATAGGCAGTTCGAAGAATGTTTCCTTCTAAATTTCAACTGGCGTAAGTCAATAATCACTGTTTAAGCTTTATATTACTTATCATGAAATATCAGAAAAATACCCAAACAAACTACCAGGAAATTAAATTCCGTTCTCTAAAGCAACGAAATAAGATTTAAAATCAATAAAATATTTTCTGCCTTCATTCAAAGTAAATGCCTAGCTTAGAAGCTGAAAGGTAATAACGAAGGAAAATAAAAGTTCAGGATCATTTTACAGTAGTGTTTTATAAAGTGCGAATAAAATTTAATTTAAAGCAATGTAACAATCACATATATTTAGTACCAGTACTCCAAAGATATTCAGAATAACGAAGCCGGTTCATCTTAGTCTTGAAAGCACTGGTGTTACCAAAAAATAGAATTTGTGGTAAAATTATAAGTTATTTATCAATGCTCGAGGGATATTTGTTTAAAAGTGTTCTCCCTCGACATAAAATCTACACAAACTTAATGAGATTAAGTTGCTTGTGGGTATCATTTTGTTAACAGAAGTAATATAAAATGTTAACAACTTGCCCCAGCTGTTTCACAATGGCCTGTAATTTTTAGAAAAGTTCTTATAAACCCGAATTAAAAATCGTGACTTATTTCTGTACACATGCTGCAGTTTGTATTACGTTGTTTTAAACTGCAGATAAAACATTTATTTTAACGTGTTAATCTGTAAATGAATGAAATCAAATCAAACTAATAGAAAAAAAAAACACGAGCCACAGGCTGTTTAGCAATAACATTGAAACCACAGGCCTGGGAAAGAATACATGAGTATTCCTATTAAAGCGCATAGTACAATTTTATTTTCATGAAACAGAGAACGTTTGAACGTCCAGTGCTTTTCTGTGGGTTGGTGTTGTTGCATGATAAATTGAGTGAAGACAAAATGAGTTTCCGCTGACAATTAAAAATATTTGGACTGTTTAGTTTACAGTAAACAATTTAACCATTCAACAGATATCATACTTCATTATTAAACAGAAAAACAAGCAGTTCACCAAAAAACTCCTTCAAGAAGGAGTTTGATTATTAGAATTTTCCAGTAATGTTCACGGAATCGTATAAATTAAAATAGATTTGTTGAAACGATTGAACTTGTATTATGTTTTTAGAATCTGAATATTGAATGTCAACCAAACATTTGATAAAAAAATTTAGTAAAGTTTGGATGAACGGTGAAACGATAGAAATCAAGATTAAATGCATTAAAATTCAGTTAGTTTTCAAACGCAGTAGATTTGGATTATTTAGGAAGAAAAGTTCTACTAATGATTTTTTCTGAAGAGTTCACATTTTATACATTTTGGATTTGTTTCGGTTCAAAATTTTATTATAGAAGTTTTAACCATTCGTATCACACAGTTTTCATAAGGAATACATTTTCCAAGTACAGCAGCAATCAATTTAAACCTAAAGCTTCCCTACCCTGGCAACGTTGACGAATCATAAAAGAAAGTAAAGCGTAATCGTTTCGGAGGAAATGCTCTAAAAAATGCTCAGAAGCATTTTTTTTGTAGGATAGAAATAACAAGAATTATTTTTTCATCTCTAACTTTTTGATTTTTCTCTTCATTATTTTTTTTATTATCAATGTTACTGCAAAAAATTATTAATGAAACCACCAACTTTTTCTCAGTCATGGTTACGAAATTAAATGAAAAAATAATTGCATCCTTATTCCACCTCGTTAGGTCATCAACGTTCCTAAAGTGAGTAGATCTATCATTACTTTTTTAAAAAGTTTGACAGGCCACTTGCCTATTTTTTAAAGCCGGATTGACTGAGTTATGCAAGGAGGACTCCTTTTGATGTCAGTCTTGATCTTGGCACGTTGCCCGCTTGAGGCCATTCCAAAATTTTAAAAGGTAAGAGGGATTGAGTGTTTATTTGTAATTTATGAAAAAAGTCGTTAATTACTATTAATATACGAAAATGTGTTGCAAAACGTAACTAGGGCTTGTAACGATTTTTAAATCTAAGCGCGCTCGGTGAGCAAGGTCGCGGAAGAGTGGGGTCGGTTTTTACGGGCGGCGAGAAAAAGAGGAGGTGAAGAGCGTTTTTTGAGCGAAGTGAATTGCTGTGAAAATCGAGATTTTGGCAAAATAAGGAACCAAGAACAGCTAGGTGAGTCCCTATTTGGCCTAGAATATTTAAATAGAAGGAGGAACTAGGTTCTTTGTACGGGTGCCGTCGATTCGTGGTTGGTTGCCGTCTCCATCGTCACTGTCCCATACCCATCGATTCGTGGTTGGTTGCCGTCTCCATCGTTGCTGTCCCATACTATGGTAACATCTCCTAGGGGAGCTTTGAACATAAGAGAATCGCTCCGAAGTGCTTCACCAGGAAAGAGCTTACGTAAATTTGCGGAAAGTACTTAGCATGTAAGATCGTAGAGGTGGTACCATTTCGCGAAGGGCGTTTGTTAATATAAAGTTACTGAAAATTAGTCTGTTGTCCGTTCGTCCCTTTCCTTGTTGGGTTAACTACCCAGCTGGCGCCCAAAGGACCCCCCAATATAAAAAAAAAGGCCGGAGAATGTCAAAATCGCCACATATAAATTTGGCGCCCAAACACGTGGGGCTATAGCAGCGCTTTTGTCATATTTATTTATTGTTTGCTATAGAGTGGGGGTTTCTAATTTTTACTTACCCATCCTTATCCTTAGGACGGACAACTGAGTCATTTTTGTATGTCAGTATAGTACTCTAATAGTAATTCATTTAAGTTTCCCGTCTTTTTGGAGTACTCGATTACTGATTCAAAATGAATTCGATTTTTGATATGGAAACAAATTATTTGAAAGCGTCGGAGCTTAACCATGAATTAAAAATAAGAGGAACCGCCAACCCGGAACGGCTCGATCATGATACCAAAAGAAGATATCTTCGAAGGAAGTTACGAGAGGACATGAACA